TCCCCAAAGCACCATGAACACTTTTGAGGGCACTTAGAACTCTTTTTGTTAACCTCAGCCATCCCTGTATCTTCACAGCTACTACAATGCCCAGTTAGAGCATTTTAAACTCTTCCAGAGTTTGTCAGCGTTTCACCGCTCACCCTGCTGGAGCAGAAAGCTGGCAGGTCTCACAGGACCCTGCCCAGCACCAACACCCTCTCCTCATCAGCAGAGCATCTCACCTGAAGCCGAGGGTACCAGGTCATTAAAAGTTTGCAGTTTCATTTGAACAAAGTGGAGACTGTGGAATAAGCAAAAAACAAAACAAAACCAAAAAACCCACCAAAAACACCACACCACCAACATGGAAGGCCCCCAAAAAATCAGCCAGAAGGGCACGGTTCACACCACTGTCATCTGAAGTTTTTTTTCTTCCCAACTCTGTGCTGAAGTTCCTTTCTGCTGTGTGCCAGCTCTGAATGCTGCCATCGGCCCTGACCCCGGTGCAGGTAGCAGAGCCCTCGGGGCAGTGCCACGCTGAAGCAGCAAGACACAGGGACACCCCCAGTCAGTGACCCTGACCCCAGGGTGGGGAGGACACGTGGGTACACCAGCCTGGAGACAGCTGGCCCACGTCTGCGCACAGTGATTTAAACCATTGAGTGTGTCTGCTCAGGAGGAGACATCTCTGAAATCAGGCAGTGAAAAACATCCCTCACTCTCTGGAGGTGACAACGTCCTCCAAGCCCAAGAGGAGGTGTGATTTTTCATACAGGCATGGTTACAGCTCCCCACGCTCCTTTGAGAAACCGGACGAGAAGAACAAGCACACAACAGTAAGCGATGGAAAAGGGCCCTCTGTTTTGCTGTGTAAGGCATGAGCTTTAAAAATCCCCAGATTCAAGACTAAGAGAAACAGATAGGATAAAGACATCTCTTCTGCCAGCTCAGAGGGAAAGCCTGAGCACTCCAGACCAGCAGGACTGGTGGCCAGGCGTGCCGGTTCTGCCTGGGTCGGCAAGAGCCGGGGGAAAACTGCTTACCACCATCTGTCAGCCCTGGAGCCTCCTCTGTGCCTGATCCCAGCCATACAGGTCACAGGCACCTGCAGCAGCTCCCAGCCAAAATTGGTTTGGTCACTACCTGCTCGGGTGTAGGCTTATCCAATTTGCCTTTTTATCTATCAAGGTAACAAAAAATGTTTACTTACACTTCATACAGCTTATCACAACTGAAACACGGGGGGTGGAGAAAGGAGACTTTAAAAACAATACTTCAGAGAAAACCTTAAAATAACCGTGGGTCTCCTTGCTGCTGGAAGTGAAGCCAGTAACTCTGAATGTTCTGCAAAACTAAAACCTTTTTTTCTAAAGAAATTGAGATCTTACACATACACATTCTCTTTAAACTCCACCTGCATGACAAACCAAGTATTATCATGGGAGCGGAAAGAGCCAGCATCTTTTTCACTCTCTGCTTATTTTTTACAGCAGAATATTGTATCCTCCTGCTGCTGGCAAAAGCTCTGAGCAATGAAAGCCCGCAGGAGGGTGTTCGCTGGGGCTCAGCCTGTCCTTCCCAGGGCAGGCGTGCGGGGTGGCCTCAGGCAGGCAGACAGGAGCTTGCGGAGAAACTCAGCCAGAGACCTGCTCCTACCTGATCTGGGAGCTTCATGTTTGAGGACGCAAAGGGGAACCCCAGGCTTCAGACACTTGCTGCGGCGTGGGGAGGATGGTCCCTGGCTGCCCCACGGCATCCTCTGTGAGGCTGGAGAACCATCCCCTCACCCACGCCTTGGAGGACGGGTGCGGTAGGGCACTGAGATATTGCCAGGCTCTCCCTCCTTTCCATTTCACATCATCTCCTCTCTTCTAAGCCCAGGTCAGATCTCCTAGTCTGCACAAAGCCACCGCCAGCGCATTCGAACCAGGGACTGTGCCCAGTGCACCCGGCTGGGGAGGTGTGTGGCAGGACACCCCACGCAGAGGTGGTGCGGCCACTTCTCCACTGACGGGGTCTAGAAGAGACCGGAGCCTGTTCTGGAGGTATCACAGGTACCACCGCAGGCATGCACTGCGGAACTCCTCTGAAGAAAAGAAAGATGCCAGAAAAGGGGAGTGCTAGAGGGAAAACAACAAAAAAACCCCCAACCTTATTAAAGCTTTTCTCCTTCCTCTGCTTAGCAAGGAGAATGCTTAATTAAGTCATCCTTCAAGGCTTCACACTTGCTCCAGCAAGGCTCAGCATAAAGCAGACGTTTAACAATTTCCTTCACAGCACAGGACATCTCCGTGGTACCATCATTTGAATATTCTAAAGAAGTGAAACTGCCGGTTCTCTGTTGTTCAGCTCGACGCAGTGGGGAGGGACAGTATCAGCAGGAGGCACATTTCAGATCTGCTCAGTAATAAGGGAGAGCAGGAGGGGAAGGAGCAAGCTGCTGTTTACTCAAGAGTCTGGAGCCTTCCCAAGGCAGGAGTTTTGACTCTGTTATGCACATACTTCTCAGATTACTTGCAAGTCTCTTTCAGCTTATTAGGTCAGTTTAACTGGCAACTACTGCTGATTTTAAGCCCAATTATAGTCACTTCTACCTGGTGACACAGCCCCAGTTCCGCAGCCAATTCTCACCAATTAATGGCTTCAGAATCGCTAGACCCTGCTATTCGTAGCAATCTTGAGTTTGACCTCAGAGTCACAGTTTCCTGCCATAATTCCAGCGTTGTTTGTTTTCACTGGAACACTTCCCTGTGCACTCCCAACTACCGAGACCACTTCTCCTGTGTATTGAGCTGAGATACACATTAGAGGCAAGCTTTTAACTTTGTCCCACTCTTAATAAAAGAAAGCTCAGAGACTCATCTTTCTGGGATGAAACTATCACCAGGGACCCTCTGCTGGAATCCAGACATTTCTAGGGAATTTGTCCCCACTCCTCATGGTTAAGTTCTATTGGTCATGAAGGACCATGGCAATACAACGATAAACTCCTTTTATTCCTGTTGGGTCTTTCAAACAAGAAAGAACAAAAAACTCCAATAAGCCAGAGGTCCTCAGCCCACCCATCCTGCATTTTAGGGGACACTGAGGAGGACTTTCAGCTATGCAGGTCCCAGGTAACGCGGCTTAAGGCGTCTGCACCACACAAAGTGCACAGAGGCAGACAAATAACCCAAACAGGGGTAAGCACAAGGCTCAAGCCACTGTGTTTGCAAGGAACTGCAGCAGGATGGATTTTAAGAAAGTGTTCATGCTTCTATTTCTCCCTCTCAGTATTTCTGAATTCCTCCAGGAAGCACCATAAGTGGCCTTACACCAAAGAAGATTTATTCTGACCTGAAACTCCATTAAAAGGGAAGAAAATTTGTTCTGAGCAAGATGTTGTTTGTGCCGATTAGAGGAACCGGACTCTACAGTGAGAGCAACAGAGAAATGCCGGGCAGGATGCAGGTACTCAGGTGTGTCCGGGTTTGAGTGTCATTATGCAAAACACACAACACGGCCCTGGGTCATTCGGTACAGAGCAACGCAGCATTCGTCCCTGTAACAGAGCAGCCACTGCAGAACTCACCGAAAGGTTCAGCAAACTCATCGGGAAGGGGCTCGGCATCAGGGGATGGATGCAGCAGCGTGCCAGGAGGGAGAAAACGCTGCGACTACAGCTCCCAGTCATTTATCTGGTAAACTGGACAATGGGTCAGGTCAACGCTTAACAAGCACCTGCCAGCTGGCATAGAGGAAAGTCTCATATAGGAAATCTTTGCATCACTGTTGTGATTCCACGGGATCATTAAACAGGAGCCGCAGGGAGCGCTCACAGGCTCACTAAATACCCGAGACAGAGGACGAGGCAGGCCTGCCAGACTGAGCGAGTACAGCCTGTGCCCTACACTGAACTTGTACAGAGGTGTCAGAAAACACCAAAGAATGTTCTGCCTCAAGTCTGCAGCAGGAGGTGGGAAGACGGCAGCAGGGAGGCAGGTCCAGCCAGGAGAGGGTTGTGTTGCTGTAGGAACCAG